TATGTAAAGTGTGTATGTGGTCGTTTGTTTATCTCTGCTTTTGTTGATTGACACAATAGGTGTACAAAATAGGTGTTGCCATTTAGTGACAGAGAGATGATTGGAGAGCTTTACTGTGCCCAGTGGGTAGAGAGGGAGGGAGAGAGAGAGAGAGAGAGAGAGAGAGAGAGAGAGTGTGTAAGAGGGCGGTTGGACTTGCTCTATACAGTTAATCAGTTAATACACTTGTAATGCTGATTATCTCGACCATGTCCTGTCATGGATGGATGACATAGAGAGGAGGTGGGCTGCACCATTGAGGGAGGATGGACAGATGTGTGTGAGGAGAAGTGGATTGATGGTCAGAGGGAAAAATGAGGAGTACATCCCTCTCCTGTTTGCCTTTTTCAATATTTTCAGTAATAACCGTAATGCCCTTGTTGTTTATGCCTTGTAACTTTATTTTACATTCCCATGATATGATGGGCTGATTTTGGTGATTTCATTTGATGAAATCAGTCTATGATCAGCTCACATACTGGAAAGCAAACAACGTCTTGTTTGACTCCAGGCTGGCCATGGTCATAAATGTTCAACGTTCAAGAAATATGTCTTCTTATTCATTTAACTGGATGGTGTAATAAAAGGCCACATCAATGCAAACATCACACCTGACAAGTACAGAGAGATAGAGAGATGTTTCTAATTGATGGCATTTCTTTAAGCTCATTTTGTTTTTCAATGACACCAACATGGCTGTATAGTCAGATTTCCTCTGGTTGATCTTTTCCTCACACAAACATTACATGTATACCCTTTAACATGGTATTTTTGTTTTCTCGGTACGAACTACAACATTGGATGCCAGTCAACAAAAGAATCTGTGAACTCATCTATGTAACTTTGTATTCTAAACATGGTTTTTGGTTCACCTCAGGCTAGTGAAGACAAATACTTGCTCCTGATTAAAGGAATTGAGAAAATACTGATTAACCTATCAACAATGACACCTCAGTTCTGAGCTCTTCCAGTCTGATGTGAGATTGATGTTTTGCTTTAGTTTCATTGGCCCTATGCCTCTGACTCATTTGACCACTGCTGGTAGTAAATTCAAACTATTCTGAAGCTTGTGCAGATAGGTGTGTAAATCCTTCTCTGACCTCAATACATGTTCTCAGATTTGTGTCTGTGGGTTAATATATGGAAGTGGGACAGAGAAAACACAGAAGTGCTGAGTTGGCTTATTCAGAGATGGAAGGCTGCTCGGGATGAATGAACAGACACAAATGAAAGACAGATGAAACAGAAGAAGAAGAAGAAATCCTGACAGAAGGACAGATGCATTATTGGGATAACATGTTTCAGTACAGGGAGGAGGATGGCAAATGAAATTGTGCAGTGAAGAATGACAGAGGACAGAGTTGGTAAAGGGCAGGAGCCTCTAACATACAGAGGAGAAAGGGAGAAAAGGTCATGTGTTTTTTTTGTGACGAAGAAGCAGAAAATTCAATTCAAGTGGCTTCAACTTAACTTCAACTTAAAGACACACGTTAGCATTAAGACATTTTTAAAAAGTGTGAGGAAAAATCAGCACGAATCAGATTATCCGCAGAATTTATAGTAAAGAAAGTCACAATTTCAATGTATTTTTTATTTTAAAACTACACAAATAAGAAAGTAAACATGTTTTTCAAAACTAAAAAAAAATATTTTTTCAATGCAGCTCATTCTTTAATAACATATTTTCACAGATTTCTGAAAAGCTTTCTTAAAAGCAATCAAGCTTTGGAACAAGTGAAATTCTGTGAGAATAATTTATTCCCAAAATAAAACAACACAAAACTACAGAGTGAAATAAACTCGAGTTATCACTAGTCATGAAAGGGTTAAGTTGAACATGTTTATTGAACAGAAGTGTGTAGTTTATTCTTTTACTTGTACATTTGGTAGAATATAAAAGTCGTATTTCCATAGTTAGCACTCTTAATGACATTAATAATTCATGCTTCACCTCCATGAGCCTTTATTTTTCAAACGTAATTGGTTTTTAATTGTCTGAATAGAGAAGAGTATTAAGGGAGCTTTGGTACTTAAGACAGGTGACTGTGATTTGTTGAGTTCGGAGGAGAAAGAGGGATTAACTCGGGGAGCGATGGGAGGATGGGTGAGAGAATTTAAAAGCAAACAAATGCAGCAAAGTTCAACACTTTTTTTTTTTACCCCATAACACCTCTTCTCCCTCGTCCCTCTTCCTCCTCCTCCTCCTGACTTCCTGTCCTGCTTCTCTACCCTGTCATGTGTCCAGACGGAGGTTGTTGTTTAAAAAAAATAAAGGTACACGCACATGAACACACAAACCAAACACAGTATCCTAATCAAAGCCAGGCTCAACACATTGTGTCCCAGTTGAGCAGCTATTTTTATCTGCAGCGCTCTAACGGGGATGCAATGGGTCACATAGGCCAGGCTGACGAATCCATCAAGACCAACAGATAAACAGTCACACCACACGCACAGACACACAGACACACACACACACACACACACACACACACACACACACACACACACACACACACACACACACACACACACACACACACACACACACACACACATGCAATGCATCAATGCCATTGGTAAACAAGTAAAATAAGTCCTTCATTTCTCACCAAAGTAAACAATTCTTCCATTCACTCTCACTATATTTTTTACACTTTCCTACACACGCACACACATACACACACACACATACACACATCTATGCATATATTCACATACATGAACACCCAGATCAACAGGTAGTTTCAGTCAGTGTCATATTCTATTTCTAATTTGTGTTTTTGTGTATCCACTTGTTTGTTCTGTTTCCTTGACACCTAAAACTGAGCCTACACTCTACCAACATACACACACACACACACACACACACACGCACACACACACACACACACACACACACACACACACACACACACACTCACTCTCACTCTCACTCTCACACACAGATGCGGTTCAGGATGATTCTGATTTACGGCTATAAGAGAAATGCAGTTGGCAGAGATCCAGTTTCTGTCTTGACTTGTTTTGGGATTGGAGAGCTCTGGCTTGGACCCAATTTGTTCCTCTGCCTCTCTCATCTCTCTCCCCTGTTACGTTTTTTAAACAATGTATCCTGTGTTATATTCAGTATATCCAAAGCTGAACACAAAGTAGCACCTTTCTAATCCAAAAAATAACAGTATTCAAAGTCGATATTAAGTCGACTTATTTATCTTATTAGAGTCTTTACCAGCTCAGGACTGTTTGCTTTAAACCTAACACACAAAATGAACAGTTTTAATTAACCTACACTATGATGAACATGGAGTTGTAAAAACATTACTACAAGCTGTACCTTACGTGCTGTGTCGAAGTCTTTTTCATTTACTCTCAGTTCACATTAGCTCCATTAGCACAGCGCCTCTAAAGCGATATCAGCAATAAATGTAGAGTCAACGTAAAATGAAAAAGTAGCAGGACTTTGCAGTTTTCTGTTCGTATTTCAGGCTACCTCGGGCATCTCGTGTCTGTAATTGCCGTCTTATCTTTAGATAAAATGATTTTGTTAGCATTCAACAACTACAGCTGCCAGGGGAGCACACTCCAGCTCGGGCTTTTTTTTTTCCTCTTCCATATCTTTGAATCTTGTTTACTCAGCCTTTCCCTTTTGTCTGTCTCTCTCCCTCACTATCTCTCTCTATTTATCTGGTTTTGCTTTCTTTCCATTAAGTCTCATTTGCTGCCTCTTCACTTGCTTTCTTCTCTCCCTGTCTCCTTCTCTCTTGTGTGTTGCCAAATTAAAACATGAACCCTACACACAACCAAGCGAGCTTTTCTTTGAGCATCCATATGTGCACGCACACTCACACATCCTTCATACTCTCCATCCACTCACACATGCATCCATACCGTGTTTATAGGACCATATAATGGGGTTTTGGAACCATGGGATTTCTCTTGCTGCCTTTTTGTATGTTTCCTTTAATTATTGAATTATTCATCTGAATTTACATATTTATGTAAGTTGTAATGAAATATAAGGTTCTTAGTGGGGCAAGCTGATTGACACATGCATTGGGGACATTTTTATTATGTAAGAACCTCTTTTAATACTGTAACAGCTATCTGAGTTGATCTTCATCTCTATCTTGTTGCTAGTGTGTGTTTGCTGTTTAGCAGTGGGAGGGTATTGAACACTGGGATTTCAAAAGGTTTGATACCTATACTTGATAACTAATATCCCTGCTTGGGTGTAAAGTGATTCATTTCACTGTTTTATAACCTGGCTGAGTACACTGAAGTAATTTAAACAACCCGAGCACCTTGAAACAAGCTGAGCTGCTGTTAGCCGTAGACCTGGCTCGAGGCCCCTCCTGACAAACTGTGTCTGCAAAAGAGCGTTAGAGCAATACACACTTTATACAGGAAACTGGGAAATGTCTTATTTAATGGGAAATTGTTGAATCTATTTACTGGCTTTGTATAACATTATACTCTCTGTTAGCGCTGCACCGTTTGTGTCTGCTATCATCACATGACAAAATGATCTTTTGGTTCTTCTTTCTACTTTAAAGCTGTAGGTGTCAGGGTTAGCCATGATGTACATTTCAGCAGAAGCAAATTTGTTCTGCTGTTGAATAAACGAGTGTACTTGTCTAATCCATTCCTACATTTCAGAAATCAGAACAAATTGAATGGGTTTTTACAGCTTTAGGCCAAAAAAGCGGCTGGTGCTCTTAGAAAAGTGTCAAATTCCATATTAATTGACCTTAAGAGCTTTAGTTGCAGAGTTTGCTTGTAATTTGTCACAACAAGCAGCCAGCCACAAATTAAAACACTTCCAACAAAAAGGTTTGGACATTATGAATGCCTGTATGTGCTGTGCCACTTAATCTAATTAGATACAAAAATAGAAAGAAGCTTCTTGTGTCAAAACCCTCTGTCCTGTTGTTTTTTACAATGGTGTCTTGTGTCCTCAGGTGCGTAACTTGTGCTACATGGTGACACGGAGGGAGAAAATGAAACACACCCTGTGCGACCTCCAGGAGAAGATCTTCCACCTGCAGATACAACTACTGGAAGAGGACATCGCTGGAGGTAAGAGAGAGTGTCATTGTATTTTTATCTCTCTAAAAGACACAATTACAACTGTTATATTTCACCCACTGAAGCACTATAGCCAAGGCCGCACACACACACACACACACACACGCACACACGCACACACAAAGTACAATTTGGAAAGCTCAAGTGCATAAGAGTTACATCCAAACCCTCGCTGACTGAGGGTAGTGGGTGGACAGTTTTAGAAATGGCCCATCATCATTTTTTTGCACAGTAGGCCGCACTTGACACCTGCACAGAAGAGAGCTCTGGAATAATAGTTCAGCCAGATATTGCGACACACACCATCCACAGAAATGGAGCTCCATTTCCTCTCCAGATGGCTGACCTTGTTGCATTTAATGCTACTGGTCTGTGATGGACGACTGGAAGAACGGAGCTGGCTCGTTGAGTTGATGCTGCTTTGATCAACAATCATAAAATCACATTAAACAATCATTTACATTTTTAACAACAGACAACTTCTAAAGTAATAGGTCTTTATTGCCATAATAATAATAGCAGTGTGTGTATATATACATTATATTCACTAAATCAGGGGATGGGGTGGGTAGATAGTGATAAGTTAAATCAATAATGATGACGGTGAACTTTAGATGTGTGTATGATGGTTTAGATAGTTTGTATATTAAAAGAATGATTCTTAATCATATATGTCTTGGATATGATATAAGTAGTCCTAGCTGTCGTGACCTGCAGTTACCATGGAGACTTCTGTGAATCATCGTTGAATCATCATTGTCATGGTTATACTAGTGACATCTCTCCAGCATTGTTATGATAGTGAACTCCTGTCCTCCTGTGTGTGTGTGTGTGTGTGTGTGTGTGTGTGTGTGTGTGTGTGTGTGTGTGTGTGTGTGTGTGTGTGTGTGTGTGTGTGTGTGTGTGTGTGTGTGTGTGTGTGTGTGTGTGTGTGTGTGTGTGTGTGTGTGTGTGCGTGCGTGCGTGTGTTTGAGTATGTGTGTTGGTTAAATCTGAAGATATTGGGAGAATGTAAGTGTTTGCAAGATTTAGTGGAGTGCATAGATGTGTGTGCAGCCTTCTTTGGGAAAGGTGAAGACTGCAAATTGAGTACTCTAACTACACACACACACACAGTGCAGTGCAGAGATCCTGACTCAGCAGATTGCTGCCATCAGGTACCGGAGGCTGTGCTGCTGGCACTAAACAGCCATATCTATTCACACTCTAGATTAGAGAGGATGGTTGGTGTGTGTATGTGTGTGCGTGTTTATGTGAGAGAGAGAGAGAGAGAGAGAGAGAGAGAGAGAGAGAGAGCGTGAGAGCAGCAGAGAGTGAAAGATGAGGTTGTCCGTTATAATGATTTGCCATGTCCATCACCTTGTATCTACCTCTTTTCTCTGCCTCTTTTATCCACACTCCATTCCTCTTCATCCTCCTCACTAATCTGTGTTTTACTCAATCTGTGTCTCCCTTTCCTTCTCACCCATTTATGATTCCCTTCAAGGGTTATATCTTCCTTCTTTTCTCCCTACGCTGTCCTGTTTTGATTTGTCTCATCATCGGACGCTTTGTTTTGTCAGCCAATCAGACTGTCAGTTTTCCCATTTTGCAACACAGACCTATTTTTTATTACATTAAATTAAGAGTTAATTTATCAAAAAAAAAAAAAAGTTGCTAAATTTATGCCACTTTGATCCTAGCCCAAATTTGCTTTTATACGAATGTATAACAAGCATAACACAAAAGTTGAACAGGCTGACTATTTTATTTAACCGACTTCTAAAGAATAAGATGAGAAAACATTAATAAAAATAGTTAAAATTACAATATTTAAACATGCAAGGGTTAGCGTGGACTCTAATTACCAACAACAACATGCATTCATTATGTATGTATGTATGTATGTATATCCGCTTTGCCTCAAGTCATTGTTTGAGGTTTGTCTTCAACATGTCAGGCTCCCTCATCGCTCTTTGTAGCCCATTCAGTTGTTTACTATTTACTGACTGTTGAGTATCTTGAATGTAAACAGACTGCTGACTTAATTTAAACATATATAAATATTCTAAGTCTTAAAGTGGCTTAAGGCAATTCACCTGAAGCCTTATAACCAGAAAGAGATTTACTCCTCTCCAATCGGTTGCTCAGACACTCACTTTTTTAACGTCTTAACTTTCTCAACATCAACATCAAAGCTGTGATGTAAACTAAAAGATAACAGGAAAAGTTTAGCTTCAATGCTTTGCATCAGAAAGCCATGACAAGCTTCTCAAGTGAGATCATGCCTGCTAAATCCAAGTTGGAATAGTGCAGTCACAGACATTATAGTGCCAAGTGGGAATTATTAAAGTCATTTTGCCTTCTATAACAAGGAGGGTACAAATTATTTTAAGCCCTTATTTTCTATTCAGCAATTAATGTTGCTTTAAAATATGTGAGTATCCCCTAAGCGGACCTGCATCCAATCATTTTATTTACTCTGTTTTTCCATGATACGACTTCTCTGTTTTTTGTTTTTTTTAAATGAGATCTCAACATATTTATCTTGGCAGTATGGCGTGCTGTGGTCTGGGCTAACACAGTGACCAGCCTATTGTTTTGTTTGCTAGATTGCCTCAAAATGATCCCATTATGAAGAGAAACCCAGCTTTGTTATCAGGAGACAACAGGGAAAATAAGTAGAGATTTATTACAATAATTTATCACAGGAAAAAGGAGCAAATAAAAATGTATGAATACATGCCCTTGTAGGGGCTCCATATTAGAAAAGGTTGAAGTGACAGTGTTTAAAAAAATGTTGCTGTTTAAGTTATCTAACATCCAATTCTAGGTAGGTATCCCTCCTCTCCTCTCATCTCCCTCTGGGCTTGTTTCCATGTGGAAAACACAAACATCTCTCCTCACACCAGGCTGGAACAGAACCCCAAACCTCTGTCTGCTTGTCTGTCTCTCATTGTACTTCATCTGTCATGTCCCACTTTCTCCATGCCACTCTGCCTGTCTGTCTGTCATGTTTATACGCCTGTCTGTCATGTTTAGGGCTGCTCTCGTCATGCTTTGTGAATGCTAGCATGTAAGCACCGAAGTGGACAGGCAGGCATTATCCCTGTAAAGAAGCATAATAATGGAGGTAGGAGGGAAGTCTTTGTGATGATGCACACGGCATCAATCATTAGGAAGCTGTTCTTTCTCTAAGTACTAGTCTCATTATCATTCACAGCAATGTAATGCTCTGATTCATAGATCATGTTAAGTAAAGACTTTGAATAATTAAGTAGGAATACAGTGAATGTGAAATGACAGAGACCAAAGTTGCACTCTGCAGTTTCAAAGGAAGACTTGGAGTGGCTGTAGATGAACAGAAGACTCTTGATATGCTTCACTGCCAGAAACTTGGTTGATTTCCGAAAAGATAAATTCTTTTACATTGCTCAAGCTCCATCCATCCATCCATTGCTCATTCTGTGCTACAGTTATAGTATGTACATGCATGTATATTTAGAGTTGTAGCTGTGATGTTGCACAGTATGCTGGCAGGCTGTTTTCTATATCTTTTGAGAAAACATGTGGTGCAGAGGACTGCTGCCTCACAGCAAGAAGGTTCCTGGTTTGTATTCTCATGAAGCAGGACTTTCTGTGTGAAGTTTGCATGTTCCCCCTGTGCTCCGTGCATGCATGGGTTCCCTCCGAGTACTCCGGCTTCCTCCCACAGTCCAAAGACATGCTCTTTAGGTTAATTGGTGACTCTAAATTGCCAGTAGGTGGGAATGTGAGTGTGACTGTTTGTCTCTGTATGTTAGCCCTGTGAATGACTGGCGACCAGTCCAGCGTTAAGCCCGCCTCCAATGACAGCTGTGATTGGCTCCAACCCCCCAATACCCAGAACAAGATAAGCGGTATAGATAATGGATGGAAGGATGGAGAACATGTTGATATGAAGAATGATATATTCTGTACTGTAGGCAGGACTTTCTGTAACACACACACACACACACACACACACACACACAGTATTATTGCTATGCAGGGAGCTCACTAAATTTACATTCTGGCTTAAACTGAACTGTGACAAGCTGACAGTGGTTAGCGTTGGCCTCTCTGATCTGCTCTCAGCAAGTGTGTGTGTATCTGTGTGTTTAAGAGTGAGGAGGATGAGAAAAACAAGGAGGAAGGATGGGAAGGGACAAGACGTTAATAGGATGCAAGTGTGAGCAGTATGAGCAAGTGTGAGTAGTGATGATGAGAGAGGAGAGTGAGAGGACAGAGGAAAAAGTGCAGAGAGAGAGAGACAGTGGGGGAGGAAAAAATCCTTTCTCACATTGCACTAATGAGCTCAGGTAAGAAATGGGTTACAGTGGCTTTACACACACACACACACACACACACACACACACACACACACACACACACAGGCTGCAGTTCAGTGCACCTAGAAAGAGAGGAAATTAATCACAAACTTCAAAAAGACAAATCCCTTGCTGCTGTTGCACCTTCAAAACATGAGAGGGAAGAGGAATCGTAGGAAGAGCTGGAAAAAAAAATGCAACAGAAAAGCTAAAAGACAAAAGAAGAGAAAAGGCCCAGATCTGACTAAAAAAAAAAAAAGTGTTTAAAAAGGTTCCTACTGCTGATATTTGGATTTGTGCCAAGATTACAAACTACAGGGGGAAAAGCTTCCACGAGTTCAAGCAGAGCCTGCAGGCGTCCTTGAAAACCCAAAGACTTGTATTTTCCAAGGTGTCGAACATTTCAAAGAACAAGATCAGATTAGGGGAAAGAGGAGAAATGTCGAAAAAATTGTCCCCATGAGATCAGAGAATAAGATAGTCCCCCCTGTCAAAACAAAAAAAAAAAAAGAAGAAAGAAATGAAAATTTAGGAGCTGTGAGAAAAAAACGTTTTCCTCCGGGAGCTCCCTCTTAAGATCCCCTGGCATTAATGGCCTCAGCAATTTCAGGAACAGCCATAAAATAAATTGGAAAAGGGGGAAGAGATGTTAGTTAGATGGGA